AAAAAAAAAAAAAAAAAAAAAAAAAAAAAAAAAAAAAAACTGAAGAAATTGAATTTAAGCAAGGTTTTGACTTGACTACAATACAGAGGTATCACCTAGCAAAGTACTGAATACACACAGATTATCTTCATATGGGAAAAGAGAGAAAATTTCACTGTAGAAAAATAACAAAGAATACTACATTGTATTTAAGTACCACACTTCATTATTATATGAAGTCTAGACTTCACTAGACTAACACCAGACTTATTTGTTTCGATGACGTTTAGCAAAACAAGATGAAAAACAGCATGTAATGAAACTTCCTGCAGTACAGATGTGCAAACAAACATGTTATAATCAATGGACCCATCTGCATGTTGTTTATACCAGAAGTGCAAGTTTTATGTTTTATTCACCACCTTAATTTTATTTTCATTATCTCCCTTATGTATATATGCATATACGTATTTTAGGGAAGAAGAGGTAACAGATATATACATGTATAAATGCATTCACAGATATAAAATACTATATAGAATACATACATACATATACTTGAATATATTACAGTGTGAATATGAATGATTAGAAAAACAAAAGATGCTGAGGGTCAAATGCAGAAAAAGTAACAGGTAAAGACTGATCTTTATTATGGAATAGCTCTTACCTTGCAGGAATTTCACTGAGCTGATTTTTGCTGAAGTTGACAGTGGTGACAGGATAGCTTCTGACTGCATTAAACACTTCATCAGGAATCACAGCTGCCTGTTTCTCACTAAACAGTGAAAAGCATTTAGCAGAGCAATATGAACAGGTTAGTTACAATTTGAAGTCTTTGAACAATCACAAATCAGAAAGCTACAGAACACTGTGCCATGCTGCACAATGCAGGAATTACCACCATTTCATGCCAGCAACCTATTATGTTGTGTAGCTTAACAGAAAACAGTAAAAAGCTTAATCATCATCTCAGCAAATGCTAAATTCTGTATGGGCCAGTAAGTGTTGCAAGYTTGTCATTAAAGAAGTTTTGTCCCCTTAAACGAGAAAATACCCCCAGCACAGCAACATGGTTTCACTCAGGTAATTACTGAACTTCTTGTTTCTCAGTGTTTGTGGCAACTCTTCTAGCCCCTTCCGTCAGGATAATGTCCCGCCCGCCACATTAAAACTCTGTCCATGACTGTATGTTTCACCTGGCAGTTCTCACCAAATACATTTCCCCCATCTTGCTGGTTTCATTTAAGAACTRACTGAGGAGAAGTTTGCCTGATAACTGCAAATGAGATGGTTTTCAGACTTAACAATAATTTCTAATTTCTAAAGACACCTAAGATGTACTAAAAGCACCTGAAGTAGTATTTCAGCMAGTTAAAAGGAACAGTGGAAACTGTGGAAGAGCTGATAGGAAAGAAATAAAAATTCAGGAGAAAAACCTGCACATTCCTAAGCACACAAGTTAGAGTGAAAAACATGCAAGCATAGGCAGACTGGCAGTTTGTATATAACATGAAGTCAAAAATAAGATTAAAGCATTAGAAATAGATACATACCTGTATTCCAGTAATTTTAGTGAAGTTATGGCATGCATGTTTATCCTTGACTCACTTGGAAGAGTCATGGCTGTGGCAGGAGGCTCTTCRTTTGGGCTGGCTACATCATCTAGAGATAATACAGATATATTGTCACAACTAGAGGCTGCAGTCATAAGTGGTGCTCTTAATAATCTAGGTTGACAGCTCTACTGTCCCTAAACATTTGTCATAATCCTTTTTAACTCCTTATATACTCTGGTTAGATTGCATGGTTCTGATTAAACAAAATTTTAGTAAGAGGTTTTGTAGTGTTAGATTTTGGGTTGGTKTTTTTTTTTTTTTTTTAAGTTGAGTCATTTTGACAACAAGAGGTCAGGAAACAATCCTAATGTTACACTAGCAGAGATGTGGAGAGGCAGCAGCCTCTGAGGGGCATACAGACAGAAACTGAAAACAAGAACAGCAATAAACTGAAGAGAGCACAACTGATCCTAACTACAGTTACACTAAAATATGTTGTAATTATCATAACACTCTTTTATAGGCTTCCTTTTGATCATTATCCACAATTTTTATGAAGAAGCTAATGTACTTAAAGTACTTCTTTGAATATATGAGCTTAATAAATGCAGCACATTAAAAGCATTAGTTTTGTGCATCAGAGTTGTGCCATCAAACCTGGGGGATTTTCAAATGCTTAAATATGGTGAAGCTTAGTTGGAAGTCCAAACATATGATAACCCTAACTTCCACTAAAACAACTGGAACAATTCTATAGAATTTCAGCAGTGTTTAGGAATAACAGTCTGGTAACAGTTACATCTAACAAATGCCTTTAGTAAGAATGTTCAAAAACAAGCTTCAAAGGGCCTCTTCTCAATTTATATCTCTATTTATTTATTTCCTTCTTAGATGTCACAGTAACAGGTACAGATATTCCTATACATGAAAGATATTATCTTATCAATTATATTAACTATTATAGTTCACCTGTAGATCTTCCCAGTATGTACTCCCCCATCCAATTAATATTTACAAAGTTAATAATAACAGGTTAGATTTCCTTTGAACCCAACATTCTGAAAGCCAAACAACTCTACACTAGGCAGTGATGCAATATTGCCATCTTCTGGTGCAAGAAGCTAAGACGTATTTACAGAAGGAAGAAATGTCACACACGTTCAATAGAAGTTGCCTACATGTATTATCAAGGACTCTTCTAACTTAAGAAGTTACATATTTTTCAGCATTTAAGTGCAGCATAATCATTCTCAYATTATATTTAATGACAAGTGACCTCAGTCATTCTATGTACTTCATACTTCTCAGAAATTAACAAAGGTGATTATTTCTAAAGCTGATAAACTGAAGTCCTGCTCTCAAAAGATTAAGGCTCCTCAACATGCAAGTTACTCAAAGATTGCAACAGCCTGTTTCCCACCTAAGTAGAAAATATAAAGTCTGACTACCATTACTTTGTGTAGAAAATACAATAAAAATGAAAAGCCAGCTACCAAAATATCTCAGTAAATTACAAGCTCAAGTATCAATCTGGAGAGTGACTTGGGTGCAAAAAGCAACTAGCAAATTTTTACACCTTTTTAATAGTATCAGTTCATTTTACAAAGTAGTGCATTCTGTCACAGAAAAAAAAGCATAATGATCGATGTGTTTTAGTCCACACTTAAAGCTGAGAGTCCAAAAGAGGTTTCTGAAAAAACATAAAGCAGTTGTCTAGAGAAGGACTCTCTGTGCAAAACTTCCCCYGATTTTCTGCTTTAAGACTTTCAAATTATTTCTATAGAGACTATTTGGATGGATGCTTTTAAATAGTAGAAAGATCAATTTTAATTGGCCACAATGAGAATTAAGTTTTAAATAATTAGTTGCTTTCTCCTGAAACACTTCTTCTATTCTTAATCTGCTTAGAGGTAGACTTCCSGACTTTACTGAGCTTTAAGGCACTTATTCACACATATAGTCATTAAGAAGCATGGGTCTGTAGTGCCCATGTTATTGCATGAATGAATAATACATAATATCTCTGCAAAACCTCATCTATTTTTCCATACTGTGCAGAAGATCGATGGTAAGCTTAAAAGGAACAACTTACATAAGCTTCTCATTAAGTCCAGTGGGGGGAAAATAAAACGGAAACGATCTTAATTCCTCGTGCAAAATATGTAAAGGATTAGAGGAAAACAAACACGGTTATAGCAATATTTCTCTGCACTGAAATGTAAGAGTGAACTGTTAAGTRAAGAAAAGATTATTATTGCAGGAAAACTATGGGAAAAATGATTTAAAAAAAAMCACTCTGGCTAAACTCTAACTTGTCTTAATCTCATAAAAGGTTCTCTTAAAAATGCAGTACAATATAGGCATATACCTTGGATTTTGCTTCTTAGGTATTTCAGAAGTTCTTGGGTTCCTTTCTTAAAAAAAGAAAAATAAATAAATAAATAAAAGGTGAAACAAGCATTTCCAAGTCCGTATTTCTATACAGCTGTTTTCAAAAGGAAGAATGACAAACATCAGTGGTGTAGGTGGAAAGCACAGCACGGCTAACTGTAAAAGCTACCCCRACATATCCTGCAGAAAAACTCTCTGTGCAGTATCTTATGTATTTACTTATATGTCATTTTATCTCCTAACTCCAGGCGAAATTTACCAGGCCATACCAGACACCAGGAACCACTTTAGCCTCCACATTATTAATCCTTTATCTAAAATTTCACCTGGTTCCAAGAACAAGGAAATACAATCAAATTAAACAAGACTTTTTCTTTAAAAAATATCTAACAAAATTATGCTTTGGAGAAGGAAGTTCATAGTTTCAGAGACGGCAACTGTTTAGAATTTCAGTAACTTTACACATGTTTGGTCAAATTATAAGACCTGGGAAAAACACTGCAGTTTACAGMTTTTTTTTTAAGCTGAATTTCTTCAAAGATTTGATTTTCAGTCCTCTCACAGAGGCTCATATTAGCCAAACGCAGTTACCATCTGCACAGTCTGTGAAGGATCGAGCATAACCTCACGCATCTCAGTTGCTTTGGAAGCTAGACTTTTCTTACGATTTCATGTGCTGCTTCTTGTTTCTGTAACACTATGGACCAAGCTCGCACACTGAATACAAGTTACTGTTTTGCATTCTAACTGACGTTGATATTACAAACAAGACTAATTGATCTGAATTCTGAGGGGAGAAAGAAACTGTGGAAGTGAGAAAGGAATAAACAAACAAGGAATCAAGTGAGATTGGATAGCAGAAAGATCAAATCCTGAGAAAGAGACGTTGGTGAAAACTGGGATTGGCAGGCAAAGGTAGGGCTGGCAAGTGTCTCGAGAATCTGCAAGATTTGTCAATTACTCCATTAAATCAAGAGGAAAAAATACAGACAGTGCACACAAACCTATACAACAATGAAAGGAGGGTTGCTGGGAGATAGAAGGAAAGAGGACTCTGTGGCAGCAGTAGCTCCCACACCCCTGTCTCCCTGATGTTCTAAGTACTTCCTTTCTCAAATATAACCCAAACCTTCACTCTGCAAATTTTATTGAGAAAAGAGATAATCTGAGGTATAGGTTATCCATAAAAAAAGTAGTCTCTCAGATTGTCTGTCATTCCTAAAAACACATCTACCATCAAATACTCTTTGGAAATAGAATCTCTTCGGAAATTGATCCTTAATTCACACAAGAAGGAAATGAAAGCAGAGGAACAGAAATCCATGCTTATCTAGGAAAAGCTCAATTTAAGGTACTTGCCTCGCACCACAATTGACTGCAAGTGCAAAAGGGTTATATCCCAGTTTCCCAAGGCAGCAGTCAGCTGCCTTACCCTTTATTCTTCGGACAACCCATTTGCAATATATATAACAACATCTGTAGCAAATCAGAAAGAGGTCTCATAAGCAATAACCTCCTTTATTCCACACCCTCATTATTTTACGCATTGCATCGCATTCAAGCAGAAGGAGCTCCTGAGTCACAACACACAGGAGACAGATTAAAGCTGCACAGGGCACCTGAAATCTAGATATTTGCTTATTTTTTTAATGTTTGGCTTCACAATTGGAGTAACGTATATTTACAACTTAGCCAAACGTTACATATTGTCCAAATGTGCTTACTTGCAGAAGGTCTCTTCGAATGGCTCTCAGAGGATTTCCCTCTAATGCCAGGAATTTCAGCTGAGGAAGAYTCCCCAAGGTATATGGCAATCTGCAAATGGAAGCAGCACATTTCAGTGCAATTTTCTTAAGAATTAACAATGTTTTTTCAGATCATCTGGTATTCTAAAACTCACATTCATATCAAAGGTACAGAAAATATTATGCTTTAAAAAGGCACAAATGGATTTAGATAAAACTGTATTTAGGTAAAATAAAAAAGCTCTTCTTTTTTTAATCATTGGGTCATTTTAAATTATATTTTAGAAATTTCAATACATGAACTGTAGAATTACTAATGAATCTTTACTGTTTTAAGCGATTATAGGTGTCAATAGCTATGCCTCAACACAGACATATGCAGTTTTTAATATTACCTACTGATATCATTGTTGGCTAGATCAAGACGTTCCAAATTCTGAAGCACAGTAATTTCATCAGGAAGAGATTTTATCTTGTTATCTCTAAGTTCCAATACAGAGAGACAATTCAGGTGCTTAAGATTCTCAGCATTTAAAATTTCGATTTGATTTTCACCAGCATGTAATTCCTACAGAAACAAAGATTGCTCAAAATTATTCTGGAAAAAATACTCTATAATTTACTAATCTCTTGAATCATAACATCAGCCAAAAAATATGATGACATGTAGAGAAAACACAGAATTTGATTCCCTTTCATCTACATATGAAGAAAACCAAGCCTCTGAAGATTTGGACTTGAATCTGAACCTAGTTTTCCTGAAGCCATCATAGAATCCATAGCTTTCAGGTCAAAGTTGGAATCACTTTGCTACACATCTTTCTTTCCTCAGGTAAGTTTCCTAAGCTCCAAGCTACAGGATGTTGAGAGGGCAGCTCTTTGAAATGCCTCTCATACTGTGGAAGTAGCCAGTGGTTCCTTGGACCAGAAAGAGCACACACATGCTGGAACACCAGGACACAGAACTTGACAAGCACTGCAGACAGTATTATATCCAAATCACTTCTCTACTACTTCTAYTTYTTYTTTTTTTTTTTTTTTTTTTWWAAAAAAAAAAAAAAAACATTCCTTTTTATTCCCCAGTTCTGAAGAGGAGTAAGCAATGCTGCAAGTTTGTCTTCCAAATGACATTAAACTTGACCACCAGCCGGAAGACCAAAATAACTGCAAACGAACTATAATAAATACAATTCAGCATACAGAATTATTAACTACTGATGACAGCAATTCAAAGTATCTTGTGTTTAAAGTCACAAATGTTATCATAAAAAAATACTGATGTATTTACAGTATTTTTTTCCTCTCAATATTACTCAAATCTTAGAAGTAAATTTCTTCTGCTTACCATTTTGTTTTGTCTCTCCCCTGTAATTTCAAATATCTCCTATTCATACATAACTTTCCACTCAAGATAGGCACTGAAGAAAATAATCTGTCAAACTGCTAAATGCACAGTCTTAAGGCTACTGACTTATGAGCAGAAAAGATATTAATCCTTCCATTTCTCCAATACTTCCAGGCACTGTTTATCTATAAATAGCAATACCCTAACAGTTTCCAACCTTACCTTCAGTAATTTGCATGAAGGAAATTCTGGTAAGTGACGTAATTTATTTTTTCTCAGATAAAGTTGTTCCAAAGACACCATACTTGCCAATTCAGAAGGTACAGTTTCCAGGTAGTTTTTAGTACAATCCAGTTGTCTTAAGCCTATTGAAAAAAATGTTCAAGTGGGATAAAGAAAGATCAAACAAACAAAAATATATTCTACAGAATCCTAGCTATGCAATTTTAAAAATAATCATAACCTTCTGCCTATCAGAATTTTGTAAGAAATCAGTTAGAGCACCAGCTTTAGTGAAAGCCATACATCTGCTTAGGCTTTTCATTTATGCTTCATAAGACCTTCTGGAATGCCTTCGACAACACTGATCTGATACCAGTCCTTTGAAACACAGGAGTGAACAGGAAAGGACTGTCCCAGGCCTATTGTCATAGACCATTCCAGAAACTTTCGCAGGTATTTTACCACTGTAAAATGACAGCAATCTACCTGTTCCTGTAGATCAATCACAGCAATCAAAATGTGTCTCATTTAAGTAGTAACAAGCTTGAYACTCAGTATTATTCAAATCTTAAAAGCAAACTTCTTTCTTCACCATTTTACATTTATTCTCTCCCCAATAACCTCAAGTATCTAATTATGTATCCTTTTGCACTTGAAAATGCAACTTTAAAGCTAATGATTTCTAAGCACAACAATATTAATCCTTAAATATCTCCAATTATTTCTTCTGACTCATTTAKGTAGAAATGCCAACCTCAAAAGGACCCACATTTGATATACAGTGGCTATAAGCTGAGTTCTATTATTAATTCTGGAATTGTATATCTGAAAATTTATTAACTCTTTAAGAACTATTTCTTAATGATGAATAATATGCAACATATCGCTGAGCGCAATGAAAGAATTAACCGCATGACATTTTATAAATTGAGGAAAATAATTTACTTTTCATTGCACTGATATCTGCAGGCAGGCTCCTGAGTTGATTATAAGACACGTTGAGTCGCACCAAATGAATGAGCAAAGCAAAACTTGTTGGAATGTCTGTAAGATGATTGTGGGAAAGATCCTGAAGATTAAAAACAAAGAAAAGAGAAAAAAAAAAAAAAAAAAAAAGAGAGAGACACACAGAAAGAGAGAAAGAGGTTAGAAATAGAGATATTTAAGGTATCCCATGAGTATTGCTACTGCAAAGTTAATTAGTGGCAGAACATTAAAATTAAATTGCTGGCTGACATCCCCAGGATATTTCCTGTTAGAAATATGAATGGAAGTGGGAAATCTCCCAGGACTTATAGAGCACTAGGGGTTGATTTTTTTCAAATATCTAACAAGCTAAAAACAAAACTTAGTTTCAAACAAAAGAAACCTCTGGAATATCTGATAAGCTACATAAATCACTAAAATATTTATAAAGTTCTGCAATTTAAGCTATACTTTCTTAAACTACCAGTAGTAAGACATTGATAAATCAGTCTTTTTGAACAATATTTTAAAGAATTGTAATTTACTAATTCTTCTAAATTGACAAGCTGTCCAAATCCTTCTGGCAGATAACTGAGTTCATTGTGATGAAGCAGAAGGCCCTTCAAACGTGTCAACTTCATTAATTCTTCTGGGATAGTTTTCAGTTTGTTGTGGCTAGTATTAAAACACAGAAAAACAAAAGGAAAATCAATTCAGCAATTTTAAAACTTCTATTACATGTTACGTCATTCTAACTAGTAACCAGCAGGGCTATCTTTGCCATGCATGACCCCTTGAAACCCATACTCTACAGACCTAGAGGTAAGTCCAGCATTAGATACAGCGGATATTTTGTGTCAGTAGAGAGCAACTAACAATTTTATCTACAGTGGAACAGGCTCCCRTGAAATATTTTTCATATTGTAACATACACATAGTCACAAAAATCAAGAATTTCAGACAAAAATAAAGAACTTCAGAGTAAGAAAATATTCTTTAGTTATAAACAGTCTGAAAACACATTTTCTGAAAGACAAATTTAAAACATTTTAATTCCTCATCCATATCTTGAAAATCACTGCAGTATTTCTCAAGTTTTCATTTTGTAAAATTTACTTACCTGACATCAAGTTTCTGAAGATTTTCCAAATGTCCTAATGCAGCGGGAAGAGATGTCAGCTGATTATCATGTACCTAAAAAATAAAGTTTTAAAAACAGTTACTAATTTGTAGCTTTTAGTGGTTTTCTCTCCCACTCCAGAAGCAACTCAAACTAAACTGACACATAGAATAATTTTGCACACAGGTGACAGTTGTACACTTCCCTTTGCWATTATTAATAGCAGCACTGTGATCRTCAATCTGGCAAAAGTTCAGTTAATAACAGTAAATAGTAAGTGCTGAGAGATGAGGAGCTAAGAAATGCATAGTGAGCAGRAAAAAAAAATGCAGGAAASGAAGCTGTATCCTGTGACAGATCTCCTTTCAGGATCCATGATAAAATCTCCTTTCTACAAACAAAACTCACAATCAGCATAAAATCTGGCTAGGGTGCTCTGTAAGAATTCCTAGTTTACGCTGAAGATGCACCAGTGCCATTTCTATACATTCAACAGCACTGGAAAGGGAAGATTTGAGAACCACTGTGACGAGTTTTCCCACCTCCCCCGTGGAGAGTACATTCTTCCTATAGCAAGATCACTGTACTTACGTCCAGCACCGTGAGAGCAGGCAGAAGTTTGACATCCTCTGACAGACACTGAAGCTTGTTTGAGGCCAAAATCAGCTTGGTCAGATCTACTTGCTCCCACCAGCGATCCGCAGCACCAAAAGAGAGATTTTGATGGGCCTCCTCTGGAGTATCCAGATTTATCCGCCATACGTGTTGAGGTACTGCGTGCACAAGCATACACARGCCAATTAGATACTCCTGATTTTTACTACTGACATGCCCCTTTCACAGGGTTTTTCACACACGTACACATATATAGTCAACTATTTTTCCTAGAAACAATTTTCTCRGGTCTAATTTTCTCAGATCTATCAATGACAAATGGATGGAAATTTTGCCACTAGCAGCAAAACATAAGTGGAGGTGTAAGCAGATGGCAGAAAACATTCATCATTACTGTGCTTGGTGTTTATATATATATTTATTCTTTTCTTTGTCCTAAGCAGGACAGAAGCACTGCACACCAAGCACAGCTGGCCTGCTGCACTGGCCAGGCACCACCAAGCACAGCACCTCTTCCCTCAGCGGCCAGGGTTTTTAGGCTAGCTCTCAAGGAGCTCCTGCTACAGMCAGCTGAGGCGATGGGCAGGCTGATAAGCCCGAGATCTGTTTCCCTTAGCAGCCGCCCGGCTCGGAGGCTGCAGGCAGCGCTGTGCCGCACCGGGGGGTGGGTCGGCCCCGGCCCCGCTGCTGCAGCCTCCCCGCCCGCGTTCCCATCCCGCGCGGCCTCCCTCGCCACGGGACCCCGGCCCGGGCTCGGCCCCCCCAGCTCTCACCCTCGCCGAGGCTCCGGCCCGACAGGTTGAGCTGGCCGCTCTTGCGGGCCGCGCGGAGCAGCCCCTGCGGCACGGCGGGGCCCGGCTCCGGCCGCGCGAAGCCGGCGC